TAAACCAAACCAAACATTTTTGAAATAATCAAAGTGAGCAAAATGGACCCAAGGCCGCCTAGCTTTCCTAGTTCTTCTTCCTTGGCCGAATTGCTTCTCATGTCTTAAAGCCTTGAAAAGCTTGTGCTACAAGCTTCTCCTTAGCTTGCTTCCCAAGAAAGCTAAGTGAGAAGCTTGCTCGACAAGCCTCTTAACTAGCTTGGACGGTCAAGCAACTCAACCATGGTTCACTTGAACCATGGTTAAAGTTAGTTTGCTCCCTAAGCTACCTCCTTCTATATATTTGTAACTCTAACCTTTTTCTTCACTTTTGATGAATGTATTCAGAATTTACTCTTAAATTCTCTCTTCTCAAAGTTACCTAGAATTCGTGGAGAACTTTCTCCTTAGGTTCCTCACAAAGGTTTTCAACCTTTGTGCCTTGGCTTCATCAAGCTTCTTCACTCTCAAGGAGTAGCTGAGCACTCCTTAGTGCTTTAGGTTTCTTGAGCTTGTGCTTTTTATTTTTGCTTGAGTCTCTCTATTCCTATAACATGAGTCCATGATTGGACATTGATAATGTTTAGTATATGTTTTTGTTTTTGAATCATATGTTTTGTCTAGAGTCATGTGTAGTCCTTTACTTGTCATAAATTCCTAGACTAGCTTGGTTAACCTTGAATTTTTGTATTGTTTTAAGCTAATACTTGGTGCGGTTTTTGTGTTGTTAATCTTGTGCCTACATATATGTGCTTTTTTTTTACACATTTGAGTTCCTAATTTGCTATTAGTTCTAGAAAATTTCATAGAGTTAGGTTGAGACATTTATTACAACTATACCTTGAATGGAATAATTGTTAACTTTTAAGCAAGTGTCTTTGCTTTCACATATGCAAAGTTAGAAGTTGTAGAGTTCAAACCAAACTCTTCACATTTGAAAACATCCATCTCCCAATTTGGACTACGTGATTGTTGAGTCCAAATCACCACCTACTCCACCAAACAACTTCTATTCTCTGTTTTTAAATGCTGTAAGTTAGAGGTTAAATATAGTATAACAATGAGTAAAGTATAAGGGTTATGTATTTACTTTTATACCTTCTTTATTATAGAATTGAAATGATATATATTAACATAAATTAACTATATTTGATTCTTAAAATATATTTTTTAAATAATTTCAGGTACGTAAAATTTTAGAAAAATTCTAACATGAAACTTGGTAAAGTGCTTTATCCATGATCTATCAAATAAAAGTATCCTCCGAAGTGATTCCATGTTACTCCCTCACCCCAAATCTCGCTTTAACAATTTTGATTGTCGTTGTTCTCATCAAGCTTGATTTTCTCACTGTCAAGGCCTTTGTCGTTGTTGGTCACCTGTCCAATTTACGCTTGTGAAGGTCCCAATTCTTCTCTTTGTTGCATGGATGAGGAATGTCGACGACGACTTCACATGTTCCACAATGATGATAATGAGAGCATGAAATCGTCTTCAATACTTTAATAAAATTTTTATTATTTTTTTACTTGCTATTATCCTAAGGGATATTTATGTGATTGTAAGTTTCAAAATTTAAATATAAAGAAAATTTTAAAATTATTAAATATTTATTAAAAATTAGTGTAAAATAAATTATTTAATAAAATATTATTATTTTTTAAGAAAATTTGCTGCCTCAAAAATGAGGCACTTACCTAAATACTTCATGGTGCAAACAATCAAATTTTGAAAGGGCTTTATGATTCAAGTTTATTAAGACTATTTAAACTTTTAAGTATGAAAAATATTAGTTTCTTTAATATATGTTTTTCAAAATACTTTTTATATTACTGGCCGGTTAAATTTTATCATAATTTTTTTTCTTTAGATATCACTTCTTATTTAATAAACTTCACTTGTAAAAATGTGTTAGAAATATAATATGTGGTAAAAAAAGAGTTAATCACCTATACACTGTCAGTGTAAAAAAATTTTATATTGGCAATCAATTATATTTTTTAATTGTGTCATGTCACTATTACAGTGACAATGTTTAGGTGATTAACTCGTAAAAAAAAGGTTGTTACTAACGCCCCTTTTCAACAAATATAATGTGTAAAGTGGACAATGAATTTTCATTCCATTCTGCCCTATATTATTCCAGCGAAGCCACAGTCATCAATTTGTGCTGATACACAAATACAGGTTCGAAGTTGAGAATCCACGAATAGCATAGCTCCTTCAAGAAAAATAATATTGCATGGTAAAAGTCTGAGTTTGGAACTTATGTAAAAGATGATCACCGTGGAGTAGAATAATTATAGTTGAATCAAATGTTATAAAAGCCCCTGCTGTTAAACCCAATTCAATTCAAACCTTACATGAATATTTAACCATCCTGAAACTTAACCTGATCACATTGAAGCCCCAGAAATGATTTAATTATATTTGTATTTATATGTTTTGGTGGCATAGTATTACACATTTGCACAAAGTGATAATCGTGCATGGCAGCATGTATGGGTCTAAATGTCTAATACTAATTCATAATGATAAGATTCCAATGAACTTTCTGGGAACTAAACATCAATATATATATATATATATATATATATATATATATATATCCTTTTATTTTTTCAAAACCTGGCACTGTATAACATTTCTGTGGTACGTACTAGCTGAGGATATGGACTATCTTACAAGAAGAAAGAAATGATGCACTATTCTGACACTTTTCTCTTAAAGGAGTAAAAAGAAAAGAACAGCAATAATGGATGAGGAGTTTTTCCCGTTGAACCATATAAGCAGATGCTGTTGTTTCAGAAAAGCAAGGGGAGAATCTGGTATCATTATACACATTTTTTCCATCGTGTGGTTGATTGCTGTGTTAGTGTTAGGTCAGGTCTCACTGCTTTCAGGTCCAAACCCCCCAAGATAACTGTATATGATGCCTAATTTTTTGTTTCCCTTAAGGAACATGGTGTTAAAAATGGACCGTACAGAGGATTTTGCTTTATCCTAATAGTGACAAGATAAGGTCAAACATAATAAGCTTGATATTTTGTCCAATTAATAGAATCATAATGTGCATGCTTTGGATATTAATTAGGTAATGTGTTTTGGTCTTAAACCATGGCTACTTCTTATTTGAGTACCCACATGTTAAATAATTGCCCACTGAATCTTCTTGCCACTATCTTGGATTTGCACATGCTGGTATAATAAGGGGAGAGAAAAAGGTTTTCGTCGCCACCTAAGTAACCACTGAGAAGGCATTATTGCTGGTTTTCTGCCTTTTACTTTTCTAGCTTCTTGTCACGATATGGTGTTCACTGGGTTTCTTTCTTGCAGGAAATGAATTGAATTGGATTTGTAAGTGTAGCTTTAACAACTATAATAAAGACTTTTGGCAGGGCCCAGAACAGTGATTGGGTTGCCATTGCACTATTCATTTGTCCCCAGTTAACGAGTATGTTTACCTGTTTTTCACCAAGCATGCGTCCTTTCCCAGATTCCTTATCTTGCTGAGGTAAATATTGTAAGTTGTAACCGAAAGAATCTTGCTACCAAGTACAGGAATGACGAGTACAGAGATGTCTCATGTCTCCATTTCTTTTACCGAAAAACAAAGACCTCCATGATCCACTTTGTGGTGGACACTATGTTGAGTAAGGGCGTGTTTGCTTGCACGTCTTTAATTCACATTATACTCTATTTTCACGTCAAAAATAAGAAATCGATGTAAAACAAGTCTGAGTGCATGTTTGTATTAGATTTAAAAACGTGGATTTTACATTCTCTGTAGATTTTACGTGGAAGTTAAAAATTTTTACTTCAAGATAAACGTGAAAATTCACGTCCCAACTTGAATGCAAACACACACCGAATAGTTTCAAGAAAGACATGAAAAACCACGTCCCAAAGCTAAACCAAATAGACACCAAGTATAATATTAATTAAAAAGGGTAGATGTGGGAAACCAATAAAATAAAAATTGATTGAGAAGGCTATGCACCTAACAGCTTGAAGTTGCAAGAGCATCGTGTTTCAAAAACTTCTTTGGTCAAGACTAAAAGTTTGATTCTTGATATCCCCACAAATTAAATTTTTGGCATTAAGTTTGAATGGCTAAATTGTACTACAAGAAATTTCGTAACGTGTGGTTACTGGTTAGCATTACTTACTATTGAGCCTAGAAATTTTTTCTTGAGTTTTGTAATTTGAGCAATGGATGACTTGCATGTGACAGAGCTGTAGAGATGGTGGCAACATGGCCTATCAAAATATTCTCAATTTGGTCGGGACACCTTTATTATCTATAATGTCAAATCAATGAAAAGAAAAAAGCCTAATCATGTACCCATAAAAAATATTTAAAAAAAAAAAAAACATTAGTCTGTACTCTCATGCTAGGCATCTTGAAAAGGAATGGTGTGAGCTTACGAAAGATTACAGCATGATTGATGCTAGAAAAAGTGGCATAAGTTTCAATTACTGACGGTAAGCAGATTCTATATATAATTGTTTTGATTTAAAAAGGAAACTTTGTGGCTACCTTTATCACAAAAACGAATAAGTTAAAGCAAATTCACATTCCTTTTTCCAATTCAAATTATCAAGACAGATATTAACAGAATACAGTCCACAGACAATTATGCTACGCATAAGGACATATGCTCTCTATGTTGGTATCAACTATCAAGTATATATGCTGATAGGGGTGGATTTTTTTTTTAATATTACCTGATTAGGATACATTAATTTAGGGTCTGATAGACTGGCCTGTAACGAGTATGTGTCTATACAATAAAGGATATTGAACAACTCAACATTATCTTGCTTAGAGGCCTTAACTTCCTAAAGTCCACTAAAGATATAGAATTCTCGTAGTAGCAAGCAAATTCTATGATTTTGTGTACACTAGATGCATGATTTGGTTCTACAGATTTAAAGAAAGAATAAAAATCAGGCCACTAAAGTAGAAAAATGTTATTTCCACTGACAAACCCAATTGATTCAGGTTGCTGCAAAAAGACTTTCTGAGAAATGAGGCCTTTCATATACATATAGGAGAATTCTCAATTACACATAAGCAAATGGCAAGTTTCTTTCCATATGGAAGGTTATCTCTCTAATAAAAGAGCCCAAATAAAATCAATGTATCATCACTCTTCCCTCATTCTTCTGGCCCTACATATTTTAAACACCCAAAATTTATGTAAGCTTGAAATGTCCATCTCCACACAACAACAACAACAAAGGAGGCATTCCAACCTTGGTTTCAATCAATGATTGAGCCAGCAATAACGAAGAGGATCACTTCCCATCATCGATGCTGCTTGCCGGTGTTCAAGGGAGAAGCCCTGATGCTCTTGGATTGTGTGTATGTGATATGTGGAGTTCCATCTTTCTTCTTTCGTCTCCCTTGTTGAGACAAGCGAGAGTGATAAGACAAAATTGCAAAGTCATTAAGATCCTGCAATGGAGTCAGAGCCTTCACAACTTCATCCATGTTAGGACGAGATTTGGGGTCTCTACTGAGGCAACTATAAGCTAATTGGGAAATTTTCTGCACTCCTTTAAGAGAATAATTTAGTTCGAGGCGAGGATCCACGAGTTGGAAAAGTTTTCGCTTGTCAGCTAAATATGGCCTAGCCCATGAAACAAGATTTTGTTCCCCACTCGGACGCTTTTTGTCCATTGATCTTCTTCCTGTTAATATCTCAAGTAACACAACTCCAAAGCTATAAACATCACTTTTAGCTGTCAAATGTCCTGGAAAAAAAAACAGAAAATCATACAATTGGTTAGTTCTCGTAGGTCCTAGAAAGGCTTCTACACCATTATGTGGTGCCTAGATAGACGAGCATGGGATGAAGTCATCAAAATTCAAAATATAAACAAGTCTAAGTTATTTGAACATTTTGATGCTCTTAGAAAGCTCTTTCTTGTGCATAATACTATAGGTAAGTTGTGAGCTATCACGATATTATCAGTTATTATTCTTGCTAGTTATTAAGCTACCTATCCCAGAGATCATAGTGAATTCTAGGACAAGCAATGTGTTGTCAATGTTACAACTATTTAAGCTAAAAAGAGATATGCAAATATAAAAACAAACAAAATAAATACATTAGGTCAATTATCTTTACATGTTATCCAGATGACCACGGCAGTCTTCATAACAATTATAATCCTTTGCAACTCAACACAGGATTCAAATGCCTTCTAAAATGATTGGCATGTGCTACCTTTGCATAATGTCTGCTTTGTAGCAGAGATTATAATCCATAACACAACTTTTAGCATAAAATATACAGAACCTCTTTTGGTGTATTAGATACTAAAGAGTTTTCTCATCCTTTCAAGCTACTTACTACTACATTCTTACCTGTCATGACATATTCTGGAGCAGCATAACCATAAGTTCCAACTACTCTAGTAGAAACATGTGTTTTGTCTCCTTGAGGCCCTGCTTTTGCTAGACCGAAATCTGAAAGCTTCGCATTATACTCCTATAAAACACTACATGTTAATAGTTAATTAAAAAAAAAAAACTGCTCAAAACCTAATCTAAGTGACCACATACCGTATCAAGCAAAATGTTTGATGTTTTAAAATCTCTATAAATGACTGGTTCGGGACCATTATGGAGGAAAGCTAATCCTTTTGCTGCACCAAGGGCAATCTTAATCCTGTTGGACCACGGAAGAGGTACGGTTCCTTCAAATTTAGGCAAAGTCAGTATTTTTATTGTTAGATACAAGGACTAATAGGAAAGGGACCAGAACTGAATAACTAATCGTAAGGTGTTCTAGATCTATCATCATTGTTAAGAATATGAAAGGAATGGGATGGAAAAGGCAAAAAAAGAGTGAAAAGGAAAAGTCATTTGGTAAAGAAAACATTTCAGAAAGAGTATGAACTCATGAAAAGAAGGGAACAAAAAATAATTCTATAAAATTTCTCAAAGCATATGTGGTAATCCATGGAGAATTTCCAATAGCCATATAGAGTATAAATTCTTCCTTTTACTTTATACATTCATTGGCTGCTACAGTACTACTCAAGAAACACTTTATTATATTATATGCCGACAAGGGTCTTAACTAACATCACATTTTGCTATCTAATTTTAATTTTAATGTAAAAAAAGAAGAAGATAGTAATCAGTTGTTATACAAGCCATCATTAATGTCTCCTATAAATATTTCCTATAAGGGGAAGAAGAAATGCAAAATATATGCTGAAGAAAGAATTCTACAATGTTGCATAAATTCACAAATTAACCAAACCACTTTGTAATAACTGATCAATTTTGATTTAATTCTTCAATCAACAGGAAACAATTTGATCTGGAAACCTAGAAATTGTTATCACATAATCTCTAAATATAACACTACATATAATTCCTATGTAGAAAGTCAAGGCAAGGCAGAAACTCACTTCTGAAAAGATGGTTTTCTAGACTTCCCCGAGTCATAAACTCATAAACAAGAAGCCGCTGATCATCTTCAATGCAGTAACCAATAAGTTTCACAAGATTAGGATGGTGAAGCTGTCCAAGAAAGTCAACTTCAGCCTGCATCAACAAAATGTCATGTTATAATCCAATCTCCAGCATAAGCTAAACAACTCTTTACAACACCAATCTACTAACCCAAAGCAGATATTTTACTAACCACCCATTCTCTATGGCCCTGAAGACCATCTGGCTTCAAGCTTTTGACAGCCACAGTAATCCCTGACCCAGGTTTTGCCGGCGCCGTTCCATCTTCCTCAATCCATCCTTTGAAAACATAACCAAAGCCACCCTCCCCAAGAATGCTATCAGGTCTGAAATTCCCAGTTGCAGCCTTTAGTTCATGAAATGTGAATTGAAGGAGCTGGCAAGGAGCCTTATTCTCCTGAGATGGGGGATCAGGATTATCAGAAGATAATCGAGCTTCATTGGGAGGACATAGTTCTCGATTGCTAGCATTCAGGTATCTTGTCTCGGTTGCTGCATCAATTCAAAGAATGTAAAGGCCTCATTCTTGAAATTCTAACTACTTCATACATGTTATAGATGATACTATGATAATTGCATTGAGCTTGGTTTTGGATCTGACAATGCAACTGAAACCATCATAACACGAAATCCATGATTTCAGCTACAGAAACCATGAAACTTCAAGTTTTGCAGAAAATTCGTTGGAATGAAAAAAAGAATTTTGCAAGAGGTGCTAGTTCCCTCTTAGGACCCCACGTTCCTTGAAAGGAATCATGCAGGTAGCTATGTTCACAGTGTCTGAAACAGGAAGATGGAGAAAAGGGCTCTGAGAAAGCACAGCGAGAAAGCTGAAAAAGATCCATCTTTTTAACTACCCTCATCATAATTAAACTCCATAAAAATGCCTGCCACAAAAAGTTCTTTTTTTTTTCCGAAAGAAACCATCCCAGAAAACTCCATGATTTGAAGCAAACCCAGAATCACAGTGCTGCAAAACCGCACTAACTCATTGCGGATTCAGAAAGACCCTTCAGAAACAGAAAGTGAAGAAAAACAGTATGGTGGGAGAAGACTCAAATGGAGCATTAGTGAGAGGGTGGCACTACACTGGCGGTTGAGATTCACAATGAAGAAGGAACAAAAAAAAAAAAACAGAGAATTTGAATTTTCCACCATGGAAACAGTTTTGTTGTGTTATGCTATGTATGTACCTGCATCATAAACGAGACTAGTACGAGGGATAGTGTTAGCAGAGTCTCTGGAAGCTGAAGGTTTGCACGCACCTCTAACGCCGCGTTTAAGGACAGCCCAGCATCCACACTTCTTGTCAGTCTCCATGGTCACAACTTTCATGGGCTCAGTGAGAAGAAGTTAACCATGGTTGGCTGAGAAGGAAAAAGAAGAAGAAGAAGAGAGAGTGATGAGAGAGAGAGAAGAAGGAGAGGTTATGTTTGTGTTTGTGTTGGAGATTGCAGGCATCATCATCGCCATCATCGCAGTGTGTACAAAAAGAACTTTTTTCCCACCACCTTTTGTGTGGGGGATGGGAATGGGACACTCTCTCTCTCTTTCTCTCTTTCTATGTTTTTTTTACCTTTGTGCTTGAAATTACCAAAGCACAACATAAAACCTCATGTCTAACAAAGTTTTAGCATTTTTTGGAGTGGCTCCTTCATGCCTTTCACCGCCATTCATTCATCAATCCTCCTTTATACCCGCAACAAGTAGGATGCATACTTTATTCATAAGTGAAACCATGTATTTTACTTTATGTTACTTGAATATCATGATTTCGACTTTCTTTGGTACCTTCTGTCTGGAATTTTTGCTTTTGCTAATTTACTTGATCATTTTTTTTTAAATTTAGTAATTTTCAACAGTGTTAAAAAAAATCTGATTGGACTATACTTATAACATTGATTTTCTGTTTATCTACTTAATTAAATATTAAAGTATTATTATCTCTAGATATTTAAAATTTGAATTTGTCCACAAAGAATATAATGTGTTCCGTGTCAACCTGCTTCCATGATTATAGGTGTGTTTAAAAATCCGTTAAGATGAGCAGCAGAAAGAGATGAGCCAAGTGGAAGGGGGTGTGTGGATGAAATGAGATAAGTATTAGAGGAAAAGAGATTAAAATAGTTTTTGAAAAGTAGAAACTCTTAAAAAAATATAAAATATGAGTATTTATGAAGAAAAAAATAAAATATGGGGTATATTATTAAATTTTAAATACACGAGCGTATATATCAAAGGTTAATTATTACTTTAATCAATTTTAATTTAATATTCTTTTTTGGCTTGTATATTTTAACTTTTTCTTTTCAATTTTGTTTTTGAACATGGTTACACCCTAAAGAACAATTTTTTGTTGTTGCTTCTTCATGGGTATTTTTTTTTTTTGGAAAATTCAATCATTCACCAATATTCTCTTTTCTTTAGTAGTTTTATCTTCATTTTAATTTTTTTATTCCACTACTTATCTTTTTTCTATCTCTCTTTCTCACTTAGAAATGGTGAAAATATGACATTATTTGAGTTTTTAAAATTAACACTTAAGTTTTTCATTCTTCAATTTTAAAAATTTTTTGAGACCGTGGATGAAAGAACTCTCCTCCCTTTGAACATTATGGTTATTTGTCTGTAATATTTTATTGGTTTTTTTTTACTACTATTATCCTAAAATCGAGAAACTAAGTTATAGAAAGCGTATGTGTGTCATTTACATCACAAGCGCAATTAGGTTATTGATTTGTCACTATTGTTGTAAGTATTACCATGTTCAACTGTGAGAAATGATTTTTTATCATCGTTAGATCTAAATTATACAATTAAAGTTTTCTTGTTTTTTCTTTCCATGTTCTTGTTTATGGATTTGACATTAAATTTGTCTTTATTCTTTAATCTTTGATATTCAATTTGTTCTTGACAACATATTCATCTTCTTCATGCACTTTTTCTCTTTTGGTTTTTTGAGAAAATTATTCAAGTTTTACCTTTTTTTAGAATATAGGGTTCAAAGATGTGTTATCATGGACTAATTTGCCCCATAGGTACATATTTGTACAACAATTTTGCATTGTGTGAAGTGTTTGATGCAATAGTCAAAAGAAATTTAGTTGAGACAACTATGATTCTTAGATGTGTCAAAGTAAGAGCTCCAATTTAGACTTTGTATTTGTTTAAGCAATTAAAAACTAATGATGGGAGAGATCGCCTTCGCACAAATTTGATTGTGGCAATGCTTTCTGATGTTGAGACTCTTGATTTTGGTCAATACACATGTGGTTCTTGGAATGGGTTGTCACAATGTTCATGGATTTGTGACTTCACTTTGAGCTAGATTTAAAATCTTGATGCCTCTTAACATTAATCGTCTTTTTTTTTGTCAAATATCTAATTTTGACTTTTATCATGAGTGGTTAATCATCATATCTCACTCCTATTCTTGATGGTCAAGTTTTAATAGTTTATTCCACTTAGGTAGCTAAACATATTTGTTTTGCCAAGTGATTAAGCCTTAAATCAACCTTTGTTTAATGGTTTTTTTTGTCACTATTGACTTAATTTGATAATTTTGGCTATCATACAATGATTAAGTACTAGTAATTGTATTTCGATTGTAACTTCTGCAAAGTGGTTAAGTATAGATTGTAGTTTTTGCATGAGTGATTAGGCTTTTAACTTATGAATTTTGATAATTTGCAAACATTGTTTATTTAACTTTCAACATATGTATTTTTAATCATTTTCATTGTGTTTGATATGAATAAGGATAACAAAATAGACTAGTTTAGCTTGTTTAAGTTTGCCCTATTGTTAATCCGTCAAGTAAAAACAAGTTGGATGTCGTGACTTGCCTTATCTAAGGGTGGGTTGGTGCAGCCCATCAAAAGAATTAAAAAAAAGGGGAAAAAGTTTGCATGTTTATTTTAGATATTTCTTCAAACATATTTCTTTCTCAATATTTAAAGAACTCATATAAATTAGTATACTTAAATAATAAAACAATAAATCTTAAATTACAACATATTTAGTTTGATTTGTAACATTTGTTATACAATAAATCTCAAATTTGCTACATAATAAAATAAATATGTAATTATAATAATAACAACTCTTCTAGCAAATTTACTACACAAAAAATTTTAAATTACGTATAATAAAATATATCAAATACACAACATATTTGTTGTATAATAAATTACAAATTACTCACATAATAAATTTAAAGTGATTTATTTAAACTTAACATAAAAAAATTAAGTAAATTGACAAATTAACTTGTCTTAATCTACTATTTAACCTGACGAATTATCAAGTTAGACGAGACAAATCACATAAACTAGGATACTTAACACAACTTGCAGGATAAGACATGACTTGTCATCCCGATATAAACTTATATTATTCATTTTAAGTTGAAGGTATTGTAAACACACCTTCTAACTTGGGAGAGACTATTAAAGAGGTGAAATGTTAGATATAAATTAGTTATATCATGTAGAAAATTAGTTGTTATTATTAGCTATATATTTAGCTTTGATTTGACCTCTTATAAAATTACTTTTTTGAATTCCAATATAATATTTTTTATACATTATCACAAGAAGTATTTTCCTCAAATACGGTAACTAATAGAATGTTATTTTTATTAACTTAAAATACTTTTTTTTTCTTCCTTTTGATTTTATCTTGCTTTCTAACAACTTCATTATCATCTTCTATCGATTAGAAATTCTCAACAATTCCCTTAATTTTTATTGAATAATTTTATCTCAAATTTTATTTATTATATACTTAGTAGTTATTCAATTTTGATAAAATTCAATAAAAATATTTAATCTAATATATACATATATTTCAACAACTGTATCAATAAAAAAAATATTCTGTGGAAGGTTATTAATAATATAATAATTTATGTAACTTATTTATTTTATTCTCTTTATATATAACATGATAAATGCATTAAATAACTAACAAGTGATATTAAATTCAATTTTTTTAAATATATGATATCTTTTCACGTCCCTATTTTTCTTCTATGATAATGAAAACTTTTTAAAAATAAAAAAGGCGTAAAAATTGAAAAATTACTTGATATTGGATCAATAAATTTTTCTACTCAGTTTTTCTAATTTGTAAAGAAAAAAAGTTGGGAATTTGTCAAAAAATAATCGGACAAAATACTCATTAGTTTCTTTTAAGTGACAAAAAAAATTATTAGAGAAATTTCCCAATATAGTTATGATATTTTTTTTTATTCATATCATGTATTTTACTCACGTTTTTGTGCATTATTTTTAATATGATCATAAATAATGCATTTTACATAATACTCTTCAGATTTTTTTTTAACAAGAAAGAAGTTACAGTTATTTAAAGTGAAAATTACTAAAAGTTTATAAATTAAAATTAATAAAAAAGAAATTTAAAATAAAAATTGATAAAAATTGAAATATTAAAAATATATTTAATTTTTAAAATAATACATGAAAATAATGCAGTTCGGAACAATGTTTTGGTGGCAAGCAGAAAAACTGAAACAATGGGATCAGGGTGTATTTCACAATTATATTGCACTAGTTGTAGTTTCTAGAAGGATGCTTACAAATTATTATTATTATTAAGCTGGAAGAAGGGTTCAATAGAAAAATTTCCCATGAAAGACAAGGATAGGCACATTATTGGGGCTTGAAATACAACATACAAGTCCTTATTGGTTTGTTGAATGAACATAGGGGACTTTCCCACTTTCCCTACGTTGCTTTCACTTTCCTCTTCTTCGTCTACGGAAAGATTAATTTTAGTTGTATGCAGCATCTTGGCCCAAGAGATCCTCAAAAAGAGTTTGCGATATGCAAGCCATCACCAATAGCTTATAATTAGGCGCCAATTAAGTTACACTTATTAAGCAATTTAGAGTCATATTGTTTGGTCAAAACTAACAGAAAGATGGTCAAGAGCATATTTGAGTGCAATCCCATCACTCTTAATTTCTCTCTCTAGGCATTGGGGTGGCATAGATTCCTACATATGGGTGAGCAATGGGTCTATAATAGGTGGGTGTCTCTTGAAGGGGTATATTTAAGGGAAAGTGAGAGGTCATTTCATCAACCAACTATAAACAAAATTGTATTCTATGATGCTTGGGGCAATCAAAAGCAATTTGAGATCCTATTCTTTTTTTATTTTCATCTTCCTACACACTGTGCTTGCAACTTGACAAACTTTGTTGGAAAGGAGTGATGCCAATTGCCCCACTAAGTTTGTGGGTCCTAATCATGGGACCCCACCATTTACTCACTAACACATAGAAGAGACACAAACATGATGGGGGAATGAGGAAGGTTTTGGAATTTTTTTGTTAAATTATAGTATCGATGATCAGTATTTATTATCGAAGATAATGAGAAATATCTGTAAAAACGATAAGTATATATAAAATAAATATATTTTTTTACACAATTTATTTTATATTTAAAATTTAAATTTAAATTATGAAAAGTTTAATTAAAAAACATAAACTGACTATGAAAAGTTTTGAAATAATATCCGGCTTTAGACATCATCATAAGCGTAAACAAAATTCTTGTTGGAGGGATAAAGTTAGCAAGTCAAATAATTGGAATGAAAGAAAAATAAAATTGTTCATAACTAGATTTTTTTTCTTCAAGATATACTAT